TTTCACAGTGGTGTCACAGTGTCACACACTTGCTGATGTAGTTTATGGACAGACCGTAGTGGGAGACCAGGGAGACCTCGGTTAGTCCGGATGCAACACGCCTACTCAGCCTTACTGGCCGTTTGGTCTGCTTTAGCGCCGCGGGGGAGACCAGGTGGGCCTGTCTTGTCGAGAGACAACACGGATACTCAGACTACTGGTCTTTGGCGGGGGCACCCGATCGCCACAGTGCGAGTCACGCCGATAGTCAAAAAATGTGCTCGTCATTCCCACCCGGGCCAGACCAGCAGCGCCACGCCACGACCCCTCCATACAGGGTGGCCGCTCTGCCCCGTTGTTTTGAAAAGGTAGACTAGCCCGCTCGCAGACGGAGAGGGGAGGTGAGAGGGGACGGGAGAGGTATAGGTGCGGGCGGGCTAGTCTACCTTTTTAAAACAACGCGGCAGAGCGGCCACCCTGTATCGAGCGTCACCGTAAACACGACTAGTTTTAACGTGGAAAACTTTTCTAACAAATTTTCCTTATACTTCTACATTTTTGCTTTTTGCATGGTAATCTTCGGAACTTTTAGGGATGCATACAGAATTCGTACTCTTGATAGGAGGGGATAGGACCTTTGATGCCAGTCCCACAAAGCTGCCGTCCTAGAGGAAGGGGTGCAGGACGGAGGAGCCCTGCAGGATCCTCTTCGCCCTTGCCTCTCGCCTGTGGCCGTTTAGCCGTGATATGGTCGTCACCGAGCCGGAAGACGCTGCAAATTTCTTTCAGTGGCAGTTGTTTGTCAGTGTGTGCAAGTGCAACATTTAGCAGCGTAAAACAGTCCGGGGAAGACGAAAAATAGGCAACTTCCTTAACAAAACATCTGTATGTAGGCGTAGGCAATCCAGAGCCAAGGGGGCAGCCCCCCCCCCCTGCCCCCTGCCACCCGGACCTCACGCCACCCCTGAGCGGCGAAAAGTTGTTTCACACGCAGACTAGCAGAGTTAAACAAGGAGCGGGAAGGGTCAAAATATGCAACGGGATGAAATATATCATGCATAGGTTACGGTCTTCAAAAATTACAGACAATACAGTCGATAAAGGTCTGCCTCCTGGAAGGGGCCGATAAGATCAAATTCGGAACGATTCGCAACGAAACTGTCGTGCTATGTCGACAATAGGGAAAAAACGGCTATAAACTTTTTTTTTTTTTTTTAGTTTACTCCTTTTTCCTGTCGAGTCATCCATGAGCAGACCAGCAGAGCGGAGTCCTCCGCTGCCGCCGTCCAGCGGGAGGACCCCAGGGGAATCCCCGAAATATACACGGACAAGAGGAGAAAGTCAAATAACAGGGCAGGGTCAAGTTCAGCGCGCGCCGTGGAGAAAAAATAAGTCACTAACGTAGCGCGTCGAAAAAGAGAGCGCGACCGCGACACTCTCTCCATCCAAGCGGAGGTCAGTGACCGCGACCGAGAAAAGGGTATGTACCCTTGCAGTACGTTCCCTACGTCAGTAGTAGAAGGGCGGTGCAGGCGGTCACCGAGCGGTCAGAAATATTACTTCATCCCGCACGGAGTATATTAACGAAAACTAGACCATTCGCCCCTCCCGAGGCATTGCGCCATTCGCCTGCCGCCGGCCATAGGCTGGCCATAGGCTGGCCGTAGGCCGGCCATACGCAGGCCATAGGCAGGCAGACCACAGCGCATTATGGTCCAGCAGGGACCACCTTAAACTTGGCCTACACACGGCTGGCGTGGCGGGGCGCGCCGTGGCGGGCGCCACGTAGAGAGCAGGGGAGGGGGGCACAACTCACGGGACGTGAGGGAGCCCACGGCGCTTGTCTGCTAGGCCTACAACAGTAGCGCGGTGAGTCGATCTCTGCGATATTGCGTCAAATCGATCCTCGCAGTCTACCTGCTCGAGAGACGCTTCGGGACGTCACCGCCCATACGGAGAAACATACTTTGGTTGCTATAACTAAAATGGTGTTCTATCTGCCTCCTTAGTCATAACCATAGAACGTTCTATCGTGCTGGCTGGAGTGTTTGGTTAGAGCGTCTGAACGCTCAGCCAGCACGATAGAACGTTCTATGGTTATGACTAAGGGGGCAGATTGAACACCATTTTAGTGACTGCAACCAAATTTTTCGGCCGTGGTGACCAAACATTTCTCTCAGTGCCTGTTTGTGCATTGTGCACCCAAGACCTAAGGGGCGAGGCTCGCGACGCGAGCCAGCCACCGGGGAGTCCTTTCGATCATAAGCAATCAACACAAGGCAGGATTTCTTTGCAATGTTGCTTGCAGATGTTGCAGGTTTCATTTACATCAAAATGCGCGGAGGCTGCTCAATGCATGTAGTTGGGTGAAGGATGGGATACTCGGGAAACCCAAGTGTGTACTTGAATGCAGTACCTCCTGAATACCTACATGTATGCAGGAGGTATTGTGAACTTGGCAAGTATGCTGGCGGTAGTGTGTACTTGGTCAAGTACGCACTTAAACCTCCGTACATTTATGGAGGAGATTTAGTGTGTACTACGTCAAGTACACACCACCTCCTACTTGCCAAGTACACAGTACCTCCTGCATACGTGTAGGTATGCAGGGTACCGCATTCAAGTACACACTTAGATTTCCAGATTAGTTAAATGAATACTTAAAACCTTATCCAAAGTGAGCAAAAAGTCGAGGAAAAAGTGTCATACCAAGTGGCTAAAAACACGGATTTTGTATACTGCACTATCGACGCGCACGCGCACGCAGGCGCTGGGTGGGTTTGTCTACTCCCGCTGTCCCCGAGTGGGTATCGGTGGGTATGCATGAGTCAGACAATCGTGTGCGGGTGGGTTGCATACTGTTCGTAACGGTGTATTGGTGTCTCTGCTCTGGCGACACCTGCGCTGCGCAGAGCAAACGCTGGCCGGCCCTCGCCGCCGCGCGCCTCGCGGTCACGGACTGTCGAGTTTGCCGACAACGGCTTCGCAACTCGGATGCAAACGCTCCCTGCACATGAAGAAGTAAAAAAGCAGTCCCATAAAGTCGCATGTTATTAACAATGTTGGCACGTCTTGCATTTCCAACACCTCGCCCGAATCCCGACATGCATCGGCTGCTGTAGCCATAGGTCGATTACGTTTGCTAACTGCTTGTCAGCGGCCGGGCGTGCTCCCCCAGAGAGACGGAGTGGTCATCTAATGACCCCCTTTAAATTCCGGGCCGGGCGGGCAACCTCAGCAGCTGCCCTGCCCCCCACCCCACAGCCCGAGGCCTTAAGGTGCTGTGCGTCACATTCTCAACACTGTGCCCCCGGTGCGGTAGGCCTCGGGCCGGGGGCAGCCGGAGCACCCGGGGCACCCGGGGCACCCGGGGCACCCGGGCCACCCGGGGCAACCGGGGTTGCTCGCACCAGCCCATAGCAGACAGACACCAGACACAGATAAGCGGCGACCTTCACACATTTCTCTTGCCAGGGCGCCTCACACTCACTCGTCACTCTCCACTTGCCGCGGTCGCGCCGCGGGCGTTATGATTCAACGCAGCCGGTGTAGCCGAAAGCAGGCGTTGTTGCTTCCCGCCAAAAGGGCCGGGCCGCCAGGGGCGTCGACAGGTCAACTTTTCGTTTGGGGGGGGGGGGGGCAAACGGTTCGAAGTAATGAAAGTTGCCTACCTGCTAGGGGCTTTCATCTTTGAAACCTGTCATTATTTATAAGTTGAATATTGAATTACTCTGAAAACCCCAAATAACCAGGAGACCGGAGTGGCAGTCCGCTTAATGGTCGATACCGTTGCGTCGCCTACTAAAGAGGATATATGTAACTGCAAAATTCGCGAGCAAAGCGAGCAAAGAGCAGTTTTTTTCGAACTCTGAATTTTTCGTCAATTGTTCAGAGGAGTAGGTCGATTTAGTGTATCAAATATATTGATTGGAACTTGCAGCAGTGTATATTCTACCCTAAAGTCAGTCCATTCTGAGCTAAAGGAAGAAGGAAAAGTACAATGAGTTAACTCGCGAGCGAAAGCGAGCGAGAAGCCAGAGCCAAACCATTCTACTTAACACCTTATGATCGATTTTAGAAGTGTCTTTAACGTTATACTTACTAATTTATCTCCTATTATTTTGTCTGTCATTGCCCCCCCCCCCCCGGCCAAAACTTGGGGGGTGCATTGCACTCATACCACCCGGGTTCGACGCCCCTGGCTATCCCAGGGTCACCGGCTGCACAATGTCACTTGTTCTTATCTCTTCCCTGGCCGTTTTCTATTCACCGAAGTACCCTTTTGACTTATTCAATCACCCGACTTTGTAAGAGTGGGTGTGAGACGGAGTGTGAGTACAGGGCAAGACGAACGAGCATAGTGAGTCAGTGAGTGCGACTGAGACGGACGCGTGCCGGTCTGCCGAATAATTTTCGTTGACTTTTCTGATTAGTCGCCTTTTCCTTCGCCTCGGGTGCCAAGGCTGACGTTCGTTACACACTGACGTAGTCTCGCGACGCATGTTTAGGAAAAACGAAAAGACGATAAAGAGTGCTTAGCCCGCGAGTAAATCGAGTGGGTCAGTAGCTAGACGGGCGCCGGTTTTCTACGGTCATAGTTTGGAACAGCCTGTCGCGAAATGGATGTCAGCGCCACCACCAGGCAGCCAGTGGTTGCACCGCTGAACTCGAACGCAGACAAGCCCAGGAATGGATTCTTCAAGACTGCCATCGTGTGGCAAAACGTAATCGGGTTCCTCCTGTTGCATATAGCAGCAGTGTACGGAGCTTACTTGTACATTTATGAGGCTTCCTGGGCAACAAAATTGTTTGGTGAGTACAAAACATGCCTACCCAACAAAGAAGCCTTGTGCAGAAAATAACGGTTTTGTCCAAATTTGAAGTGTCTGGAAAGAGGAAATTATAATCAATATAGTGTGCAACTTTTCACTCATGGTATGCTCTGGCAACTCAAGTCTGATTCTGTTCAACAGTTAAAAGTGCAATACCATGTGTATCACACTTAAAACTATACCACCTACCACAGATCGACGTGTCCATGCAGAAAAGGCACATCTAAAAGCTGTCAGGGAACAAAAGCACATCTGAAAGCTGTCGGGGAACAAAGGGATCGTCCAGAAAGTACGTCCGCTATTTCACAGATTTATTCTTCAAATTGCGGGAGCTCGGCAGCGCCCGCGAGACTAAGGGTCGGCCACCTCGCAGTACACGCGTGCACTGCAGGCAATATGTTGCCTACCTCCCAGGCGCTATGAGAGCCCACATTTGCTGAACCTGGCAGGTTTGACGAGTGACGGCCGTACTTCTAAATGATCTTAACTTCAGAGGCCCCTAGCTCACCCTTGGTATGTCCTATAGTATAAGCCGAATATATTGAGTGATGTCACATTTTAATCCCAACGAAATAGGCATTCAATTAGAGTATCACTCAAAACTCTGGTAAAACACTGGTAAAAAATGGAGAAAGTTGCCCACCAATTATTGATGTGCAGTTTCAAGTGAACAAAACTAACCACTTCATGATGTCGAACTGAACCACACGTCACTTGGTGTGCAAACATTAGATATTCCGTTAAAACTTCTTCAACTAATGTTTAATATTGGCACACTTTTTTACCAGAGTTGGACATACGAACGGTATGCTAGGGGCCTTTAAAGTTGAGTGTGCAGAGATCACCAAAAAACAGAGATGTACCTTTGTTCCCCGACAGCTTTTAGATGTGCCTTTTCTGTATGGACAGTGCGGACACGTCGACATGTAGCACACTGAAAAGTTTAGTACCGCGAATAGATCACGTTTAAAAGTTCAGTGTGGTCCTACAGTTTTAAGTGTGATACACTTGGTATCGCACTTATAACTGTTTGGACTGTATCACACTTACTTGAGTTTCCACAGTGGTTTTTCCTGTACTATTACTAAGGCCAGTGTGTAACCAATTGTACAGAATTTGCATACTTTCCAAACGACTAAATTTGCACACTAGGGAGTGTGCTTTATACTAAGCGCAGAAAAACACTCTTAAAGTGTGCAAACCTGTTTCACCAATGCGTTGTGTGAAAGAGGGAAAAACAGCGCTGCTATTGTGTGCATTCGGTTCGAGGGGGAAATCACTTGGTTTCGTAGCGTAGGCCCTACGGACTCCTCCCAGTGGGCAGAAAAAAGTCAAAGTGATGTCATTTGACGTCAAGGGGGTCATTTTGATGTCATTTTGATATCATTTTGACATCAAAATAATATCAAAATGACATCAAAATGACCCCCTTGACGTCAAATGACATCACTTTGACTTTTTTCTGCCCACTGGGCTTGTATTTCTCCCTGCTATTTCGGTTATTTCTCCTGAGGTTTCAGTTATTTCTCGCCTAGTTTGGATTATTTCAGGGTATTTCAAGTTATTACGCAGTACTTAGGGTTAGGGGGTGTTTCGCAACTATTTAACCGACTATTTCGCGTCTATTTCGGCTCTATTTCGCTCTACTTCGTCTTTATTTTGCCTTTATTTCTGGCTTTTTGGGAGAAGGTGTACGTACTATTTCGCAAGTGATTTCCCCCTCGATCTGGTTTTCGCCCTTTGAAGGGTTGCTAAATAAATGCCAAGTTGAATGTCTCTGTCGAGACACTTAAGAGCCCCAAAAGTGCTGAAAATTGGCGCCTAATGCCTTGGTGACCATGTGGCAGCACTTTTATTTTTCTGGTTTGCAAACGGGGGGATCGACTGTCGTGTTGTCTTGCAGGGTTTGTTTGCTACTGGTTGTCGGCAAAGGGCACTACAATGGGTGCACACCGGCACTACTCTCACCGCACTTACAAAGCTACGTTACCACTGCGACTGATCATCATGTTCCTCAGCACGCTCGCCGGGCAGGTAATGGGAGACACAGCAAAGGAAACCGAGAGCACGACTGTCGAGGAGTTCGACAAGTGCAAATTTTCGTGACCCGTGGAGGGCATCCCAAGCCGCACTTTTATTCTGGGTATACTGTTCCGTATGCAAAGAGTGCGGACGACTTGCATACTCGAAAAGGACCACACATTAAGGTGCCGTTGCTGAGAGTCAGTTTAGGCATGCCCGCACTGTTAAAAGCTTACGGTGAATTTCACCGTACACAGTTAAAGTCTTACGAACCAAAATGCCAAATGCTTCGTACCTACGAAGGATTTGCTCCCTACGAAGCGTCCAAATCCTTCGTATTACAAAGGATTTGGCATTTTTCTTCGTAAGACTTTAACAGTGTAAGCTCCGGTGAATATCACTGTAAGTTACGGGAAATGAGGAAAATCACTGTGACTTACAGCGATACTCACCGCAGCTTACGGTAAAATTTACCGTAAGCTTTTAACAGTGCGCTCGCACGCCTTTATCCGATCCGGTACTGTATAACCAGAAAGAAAGTACAGCTCGGAACACCTACCCCGATAAATTAAAATTTGTACTGAATATGTTGTGAATTTTGATGAATGCAATTAAATACTCGTAAGTGTTAGTGAATGTCGACTAAAATATACTGAATACTTAGTTTTGCTTGACCTGTGAATATCCGAAGTTGTGGATCGCTCGCTTCCTAGTAGTATCGGGTGCCCAATGCGCGATTCAGAAGATGAGATGGGGAACTGTTTTGCAGAACAGTCTGTGGGTGTGGGTGCGAGACCATCGCGTCCACCACAAGTACTCTGACACAGACGCCGACCCTCACAATTCCACGCGGGGTCTGTTCTTCTCGCACATTGGCTGGCTCCTGCTGCGCAAACACCCCGACGTGGCCGAGAAGGGACGCAAGCTCGACATGTCAGACTTGAACGCAGACCCTCTGGTCATGTTTCAGAAGAGGTACGTGCTCCTCCTCCCTCGGACCTTCGTCACAGGCCTAACTTAACAAAGAAAATGCGTGGTCTTTTTACACCCTTTTTATTAGGTACTACTATCAACTCTACATTGCCTGCAATTCTCTGTTGATGCTGGTCCCGGTGTTTGCCTGGAAAGAAACTTTGTGGAACTCTTTCATGGTCACTTGGTTACTTCGCACCACTTTGTTGTACCATGCGACTTGGTCGATCAACAGTTTTGCTCATTGGGGCGGGACAAAGCCATACGACGAGTAAGTGAATGAACCTCGAGCTTCTCACCGCTGAACACCACCCGCCAATACGTACAACGAGGCTAAAGTAAAATGTTTGTCACACACAGGAAAATCAGGGCGGCGGAGGAAAAGTGGACTGCACTATTCAGTGGTGGAGAAGGCTGGCACAACTACCATCACACCTTTCCCATGGACTACAAAGCGTCGGAATACGGAATGCCTTTTAATTCGACCAAAGGTGTAATCGATTTATTCGCGAAATTGGGGTGGGCTTACGACTTGAAGGAAGTGTCTGGCGATGCAGTTTTTTCAAGAGTGGAGAGAACAGGCGACGGAACACGCAAGTTTGTTTGGTGGGGCTGAAAAAAATAAAAATAAAGGACCTGGTGAATTTTGAATGTGATTGTTTTTTCTTGACGAGATTCCGAAACTCGACAGTGCTGTGTGTGCAAATTGCAACGCGAAAGTGGCGTCAGTTTGTCAACGGCACGCGCCCGCTTAATTGATGTGATCGGAACGAGCGCTAGGTTAATCAATTCACCGCACAGTGCGACGGGACTGGGGTCGGAGAACGGGCAGTATAGAGGAGTTCATAGGCGAGAGTGCGAGAGAGGAAGTGTGACCTTTTATAGGCGGGTCTGGGGGCGCCGAAAAGCGGCCGCGCCTACCTGGGGCAGGGATTATGAGTCAATTAACAGCGGGGGCCGGGGCGTAAACGAGGAGGCCGGGGGGAGGGGGTCACCAGGCTGAATGAGGGGAAGGGGTCGTACAGCAATGTATGTGTTTCTAGCTCAAATTGTCAACCTTTCAAGAATCTATCTGGGGCGACAGGGATGGGGGCAATGGGCAGGGGGAAGATGGAAGGGGGAGGGGATACTCACCGCTCTTAATATGCGTCTTAAAGAGCATACAATTACTGCGCACTTGCGCCGTTTTTTATTCCAAGCCGATATTGGTGCCTCGGTACATGTCGAGTAAATCTTCGGTCGAGCAGACGGCGGGCGGCCAACTGACTATTGACCGCACTCATTGAACGCTGACTTACGGTTGAATTGCAGTCTCGACTCCAATCATCCCCACACAGCGAGGGCTTGGGCGATAATAGCGTTGGGTATCGCGGGGTACTCCGTCTATTCGTATCGAGCAATCCGAGGAAAGTCAAGGGTAATTCAGGGTAATCCTAGAGAAAAAAGCAATGTAATCCGGAGGATACTCCAGAGGTAATCCGGGTGATCCGTAATCCGGCTGCCACAAAGTTTAACGGTCGTTTCCCCCCTCCCCGGGTGCAACAACCGTTTCCATGTCGTCTTGTCAAAGGCCCCAAGAAGGGGGGGGGGGGGCTACGCGGGTTTGTGTGGAGAGGCTGAGCGAGTGGGAGAAGGAGAGAGAGGAGGTGTCAATCTGCCTCTACGACGGGCATCATCGCTGCTCGTAAAACACGCTGATCCTCTGCAACGGCAGCGCCGAGCGGGGCCGCAGCTAACTGCCGCGATGGCCAAATAATGGCCCTCCATACCAAAAGCCTCTTACCGGTTGGGCGGCACAATAATTTACCATAAATTTTATTTGTGATGCACTTTTTGTGGGTGTGCTGTACCACACGACACGGCGCCTCGGTTTGTTTTCTTCTTTTTGGCTGAGCGATTAGCGAAGCCCATTACTCCACTGACCGAAAAAGTTTCATTCTGTTTGTGGCTTTGTTTGTTTGTTTGTTTGTGTGTTTGTCTGTCCGCACGATAACTCGAGAATGGATTGAGATAGCGACCTGGGAATTTCAGGGTCATTTTGTATCATAAAAAGACAGATCGAGTTCGAAGATGAGCATTCTAGCTCAAAAATTGGCTTTTTAAAAAATCAAAAACTACAGGTTGCAAAATATTTATTTTTTTCAAATATTTTTTTATGGGCTTCTAAGGGGTGACTCGTGAAAGTAGAACCCTTTGGGCGAAAATTTTGTCCGTTTTGCTCTATCTCGCACCGTTTGGGTGCTAGGGAGCATTTCTTGGCGAAAAAAAGGTGAAAACGACAAAATGGTCTATTAAATCGTAAAATTTAACTCGTCTGGGGTGTCAGCGCCGCAGGCCTAGCTATATGTGCGCCAGGCGCGTCGCAGCGTAACAGTGTTTCGTGAGATATCGCGAAGCCTGTTACGCGAGACGTGGTCTGGCGTACATATAGCTAGTTCTATAAGCGATCCTTATGGCGGCTGCGGCTGGCTGTCACGCCCTGTGCACTTTCACTGCGGCTCAGGGGCTCCCGTCCCGGCGCAGTCGGTGCAGGCGATGCAGGCGGTGCAGGCGGTGCAGGCCGGCAGCCAGGCCGGCAGCGAGGCCGCCGGAGGTCACTGCAGCACTGAGCGCGGCGCCCGAGCGAAGGCTCGCGGCTGCAGGACCTGCAAATTACGCGGTACTTAAGCCATAAGATAAGGCGCGTCTGACGTGTTGAAACATAGCGCGTGCCAGACACGTCTCTCCATCCTCTGCTTCTAAAACCTCCCTCCCAGTTTCCCGTGCGTGCCCCCTCCTCAGGTTCCCATAGGACGAGGGGACACTTCCGCCAACACACCTAAATGACGAGCAATTCCAGCGTCCAGGTACGTCCGGCACCTGGGGCGGTCATACTCTGTCACCGCGGGTCGCGCGCGAGTCGCGCTGGGAAAATATAAGGTATAATGATGAAGAAAACAATCACAAAATAACAAATGATACGAGTGAAAAGGGGGAAACGAGGTTCACTTTTGGGGCGAAACAGTACCGCAGTCGTTGTCATTGTTTTGAAAATGAGAATGATAGGGCTAATTATTTTTATCATGTAATCGCGGATTTCTGTGTTGCCCCCATATACTTTTCGGGAGTAAAATAGGAGTGACAAGCAAACTTGTGATAATTATGGCTGTAAACGAAGTGAGCCATAATATTTTTGAGCCTTTTTTTTACAGTAGAAGGCGCCAGAGCCGTGCTGAGAAGGTGGGCGAAACAAAAGTGGACGGTCGAACTTGTCTTGATTCCTACCTTCCTTTTTCCAGTGCGTTTTCGCGAAAAACTCTACCATTTTTACTTGCGCAAAGGTCCTCCCAACGCTTTTCTACGTGAAGCCCATAAGGAGTGAGGGCTGAATGGGTGACATATATGAGAAATATGCATGGAGGTGGCTTTGGACAAGGGCTCGCACCCGTTGTGTCGGGTCCAACAGGGACTGATGCTGCGTGGCGTACCGCGAGGCGTCAGGCGGTGGGACGTTGGCGGCAGCTTGGACCGCAGCGACCAAGCGGCGAGAGTCCTGCACAACTTCTTGCGCAATGCCATTGTCACAACACGGCCCGGCAAAGCAACGCCTCCTACACTTTGTCGAGGTCACGCCCGGGAGAACCGTTCAGTTCAGGGGAAGCGAAGCTATTTATTGCAAATGTCGAAAGTTCTTTAAAATTCAGATGCTAACATTGCTTGGTTTAAAGGCAGTACAAGGAACTAAATTTTCTTACCAGCTATAATAAAAAGTGAATTGATAAATTACCCGGAAATATTAGTGGCAATGACGCACGCACGCACGCTGGGTATGTCTGTTTGTCGATTTGTTTTTGTCAAAAAAGTCCGTCACAGGGGGGATTTGCCTTGACCACACTTTGGCCCCTTGGCCCCTACGACGCAGTTAGCCGTTTTGGGATGACATCTGCCCGCATGAGACCAACCTGCCTGTCCTCCAAGACCAGCAGGAGAGTCTACCGCCAGCGATAGATAGAGCAGAAAGAGACAGAGAAAAAGGACACTTCAGCTAGCTACGACGCCTTGTAGTTAGGCAAACGACTTCTCAGTAGTGCATAGCAATTCAGCAGGTGGCCTATCCTTCGATCGGCAGGGGTCTGCCCAAACGCGGTCACCGAAGAGAGGTCGCAGTGTGTGTGTGTGTGTGTGTGTGTGTGTGTGTGAAGAGATGCAAGAGAGACAGAGAGCTCTTGGCAGTTCAACGTCCCCGCCGGGCGCGCATAGTCTCTCTCGCACTGTATTTAGCCGAGGAGGATGTCTGTTTCCTGTCACGTTAGCGCCACCGGGCTCCGGGCTCAATTCTAGAGAAGTGTGGCGCTTCTCAAGTGGCGCACGAGAAGGGCGGCAAAGTGAAGCGCGATTTTGTCCTTTCTAATGAAATGCCAACAATTTGTCGCACCCTTACTTGACCCAACCCTTCTACCTTCTCTCCGACAGGCCTTTGACCGTCTGCGCCGCGAGGGCCTGGGCGGCCGCCTGGAGCGGCTGGTGGCCGTGTCCGGCGACGTGTCCTCGCCGGGACTCGGCCTCTCCGGGGACGACGCCGCGCTGCTGGGCGCCAGGGTGTCCGTCGTGTTCCACTGCGCCGCCAACGTGCGCTTCGACCTGACCCTGGCGGAGGCCGTGAGCCTCAACACGGTGGGCACCAGGAACGTGCTGCAGTTCGCCAAGACCATCCAACGCCTGGACGTGAGTACAAGCCTGGAATGACTGTTTGGAACGACCGGCGTCGAGAGGTCGACGCCCGCCGGGCGTCCCGTGCGGTGCGCTGATCGAGGAAAACAAAACGCCGGGGAAAGGAAAATCCCCCGCCGGCTGGCACGTTGGCACGCCCACCACAGGAGGGAGGGCCCAGGTGGACCCTGGGGGGCCCAGGCCCTCGCTGGGGAGACCCGGTCGGTTTACTGTTCCGACCGGCATCTCGACTCACACCATGTCATCTCAGGCATGAAGCGGACCTGGGAGGGAGGGATTCCCCAGGCCCCTTTTGGCATTTACCCCCTGCATGTATGTAGGCTGTTTACCCCGGGGCTCCCCAGTTCAGGCGCTGCGGTGAGGCGTATCAGGGCGCACCGGTTGGTGCGCTCTGGGATCGGTCCATAGAGAAAACGGCCGTTTTCATCAGATCCATTCGGCAAATAACGGGAGCTCGGCGCCTGCGAGACTCAGGGTAGGCCACACAGCAGTACCCCCATGCACTGAAGTGCACGTGTTGCCTACCCACCAGGCGCCATGAGACCTCGCAGAGCCCGAACCATAGCAAATTCGTACAGGCGAATGACGGATGTACTTTTTTTTAGATAGTCCGCTTGTCAGAGAGGTGGTCGGCACCCCTGACCACTTCACTAGGGGGACCAAGGCTGGAGGGCAAACTCACCAGAACAGGGCGGGGACTTCAGCGCGGGCAACCGCTGGACAGATACTGACGACGGTATCCAATGTTATCATCATAGGCGTTCATCCACGTGTCCACCGCCTACTGCCACTGCGAGGAGGAGGTGCTGGAGGAGCGCACCTACATGACCGACGCCAACCCCGAGAAGGTCATCGACATGGTGCAGTGGGTGAACCCCGCCGCGCTGGCCGACATCACACCCAAGTGAGTATAGGACAGGAATAGAACAGAGCGATACGAACGTTTAATGGGCAAGGTTAAAGCTATATTTAAATCCATCTAACAATATTAGCTCCATTCTAAATTTTAACATGAAATTGATTGAAAGTGACCTCATGCCGACGTCTTGCTTGCTTCATTCCAGGCTGATTGGTTCGCTGCCCAACACATACGCCTACTCGAAGGGCCTCTCGGAGCAGCTCGTCACGTCGTTCAGCGACCAGCTGCCCATCGGCATCGCCCGCCCCTCCATCGGTGAGTGTCAGCCAGGCACAGCCTCGCGTCGGATGGGTTGCCTAACAAAGTGGGCGCAGTCTGGCGCAGCCGCGACCGCAGCGGTCGAATGTGTTGCCTACCTCCCGGGAGATTACACGCGAAGTGTCGGTTCCTTGAACACACCGGCCACGGGGCCCCGGCCGGGCCCAAGGACAGTCTACGCATATGCTTATGCTATTCATTGAACACTACTGACTGTCCGATAATTTAGCCAAAACATTTTAGACAAATTTTACTTTTACAGATTGTTGAATGTTTGTATTTCTTGGCGTTCTCCTCTAGTGATGCCTGCGTGGCAGGAGCCCATGCCTGGCTGGGTCGACAACCTGAACGGGCCCTCCGGCCTGCTCGTGGCCGCCGCCAAGGGCGTGGTGCGCTCCATGCACTGCAAGGAGCACTACCTGGCCGACCTCATGCCCGTCGACATCGTCATCAACTCCATCATCACCCTGGCCTGGAAGGTCGGCCGAACTCGGTAAGCTCATGAGAATTTTTAGACGATCAAGTCTATACCAGCAGGTTTGGCGCGCGGGGGAGCGGTGCGTTAAGAGATTAGCTGTGTAGCTAAACCAATATCAAATGAAAAGTGGGATAACAAATTATTTAGCTACGTAGCTAAAACATCATAGATATGTTTAGATGTATAGCTAAATTCTCAGAGACTACTTTGCGAGTTGTGCTGTTTGCTCACTGCGGCAATGTGCGTTCTGCAGCCCGACCCAGCCCCTGGTGGTGAACATCTGCGAGTCCGGCGACAACCCCATCACGTGGGGCGGCATGCTGGAGATGTGCAAGAAGGAGTCGCGGGTGACGCCCTCCGAGGGCGCAGTGTGGTACCCGGACGGCTCCATCAAGGACTCGCGCTGGCAGCACGTACTGTGCGTCGTGTTCTTCCACTTCCTCCCCGCCTACTTCATCGACCTCATGATGCTGCTCACCGGCAACCGCACCTTGTGAGTAGTGTCACCTGCAATGGGAGAGACAGAGAGAGGACAAAATTGGTTACTTTGTCACTTTAAATGGCCGCTTGCCCTCCCCCGCAGCATGGTCCGCCTGCAGCGCCGGATACAGGGCGGTCTGCAGATCCTCCACTACTACACGACCCGGAAGTGGCACTTCCGGAACGACAGCCTGAAAGCTCTCGCAGCCGAGCTCAGCCCGGAGGACCGAAAGCGCTTCCAGATGGACGTGCGTACCGTAGACTGGCCGACCTACTTCCGGAACTACGTTTCCGGTGTGCGTAACTTTGTGCTCCACGAGGACCCCGACGCCACCAAGGCAGTTCGTCACCACCAGAGGTACCACTGACATGATTGGAACCGTTGTTGATTATAGCGTGCGAACTAGATCAGAACCAAAAACAAAACTTGTTCTCTTTCCGTTTCAGGCTGTACGTGCTACACCGGGTGACGGTCACCGCCTTCTACGCCCTGCTGGCCTGGCTGGTGTGGTCTGTCGCCTCCTCCGTTGCCTCCTCCAACCCCAGTCGGTGGTTCAGCGCGTCGCTAGGGGCCAACCCCATCAGCGCGCCCATCTAATACGGATAGGCTCCTATCTCTGCTGACGGCGACGAACTACGCGACTTTTTGGTGGGGAGCAAACCTGCCACTCAAAGTCTCCTGGTTTGCCGCCGGTGCCCGGTCGACGTAGCGTGCGGGGCGTACGTCGACGCAGAACGTAATACTAAGCTTAAATGCAACGTTACAAGGCAGATCGAATGCTAAAGCCTCTGGGGTTGTATACGCAAAATATTTCATTGTATTAAGGAGAGGAATGCCTCCAAGACTTAAACACTCAAAACCACTGAACTTCACGTTAGATGCGACGAGAAGAGTAAAAGTGGGTCTGCTCAATGGGGATTTGCACATTCTCGTAGTCTTAAACAATTTTGATCTTATTTAATGTATTTTTAATTTATCATAATATAATATGTAATTTGATGTAGCAATTTTATGTGATGACGATGATGGTGCACGATGGTGTACAATTGATTAATGTCTGTGATCATTGTGTTTATGTGTTTCGTACATTTCTTGTATGCGTAAGAACGTTATACCTCTCTTGTAAATAACACCCATGTTTTTCAAGGCTCGCGCCTCTCTGTGTTATCCTCCACTCTTGTGTGTAGTTACTGAAAATGTGGCGGTACCTACGCACCGGCTGACCTCACAACGAATGTACTGACGTCGTAGGGACTAATAAAATCGAGTATCGAAACAACACCGCGGCCTTCGTGTTGAGTTTCATCACCCCCGAGGCAAAAGGCGCCCAGCCGCCCAGCACAGGGAGGCGGCGTCCCCCTGGCGGGCAGGCAACCCATCGTGCGCCAGAGCACTGCGGTCCGGGGCGAGGCCGAGCGGGCCGAGCCGGCAGCGGCCGCGCGCGCCTTTTACGCAAGAGAGATCCGGCGCGCCTCCATTGTGACGTCAATGTGGCGGGCGGCTGTGAACCTCTAGACCACCAGCCGGCCGGCACAGCCCGCGCCTACGATAGAGAGCTGCAACCTCCCTTAATGCCGGCCGGGCCTGAAGGCGGCCCGGTCCGTGCGCGCGTGGGAGGAGGGAGGAGGGCGGCCCCACCCGCGGCCCCAGCCCAGCCCGACCGCATACACATTCCGCGGATGTAATTGTGGCGTTGGGCCGGTGCGTGGCCACCGGGACGTGCGCGCGCCGCGCAGGCCATCTCGATAAGGCCTTCTAGGGCTGCCCAGCGCCACCCCAACCCTCTGTCCCAACACCCAGCAGGAAAACCGAGGAAAACTGGGGGATTTTTATTATTTCCGATTTTTCAAATCGATTATTGTATTTTTTGGTAGCATGGTAGTAGGAGCCTGCACCAGTGACACCAAAGTTAAAATTGTTTGAAAATTCGAAAACCAAGGGGTTTTACAGGGTGATCTACAAACCCCTTCCTTTATATTTTCCTACTGCATTTTGTATGCAGGCGTGCGGGTTGCATACTCACACTGGGCCGCAAGGCACTGTAGGAAGAAAGGGCAGGCAAGCCCGTACGCACGCCTGCGTGGCCTTCCATTGAATTTTGTGCTGTGCTCTAAATTTTCTTCGCCTGGGATGCCACGTTTAGCTCCCAGCGCGAGACGTATAGTGCAACGGAAAAGCCTCGATCTGGACACTAAACGTTAAGTGATCAGATTTTTTTTCACAGTGATATGTACCACCGAGGACTAGGTAGAGTGTGTGGTGTGGTTACAGGGTTAGTGTCTTTTTCAGTGTGCGTGGGCGGTTATCTTGGAAAACACTCCTAGGAGTACACTCACGCTTGGTCATTCGGAGTACACTGAGAGTGCACTCCAGCCAGAGAGTACTACTTCTGGTTGACCTTGTGCACCTTGGTGCACTATACCTGGAGGCGCGGGTCGCCAGACGCCAGACCGCCGAATGAGGTATACAAACTAGGGCACTTCTGACACGCATGCGCGAGGCACGCGTCCAGCGTGGGCAAGGTCAGGGCGGCGGCGGCGGAACGGGGCGGGGCCGAGCGGAGCACAGCGGCACGGCAGAGGCTAGATTATGTTAATTGTGGAGTGACGAGCCAGAAGTAGATCGTGCAAAAACCATATAGCGTGGGGGAGAGCGAATGAGTCAGTCTGTGAGATATGACGGGAACTTACTCCCCCGCGGGCAGTGTGCGCATACGCTGTACGCTCACAATCACAATTATTTCCCAATCGCACTCCAATCACACATTTTTAAAGTACTCTGTCAACTCAAATGTGTACATAGTACACATTAAATAAAGTGTAAATGGCATGTATGCTTTAACTAATGTGTACATGCCTATGTACACATTTATAAATGTGTACATGGCATGTATACTAACGGTTGTATGTACACTTTAACACGTTGAGTCCCACGTGACCACACGTATGGTCACAATAACCCGTAATGAGCACCCCCCCTGGGACTCAACGTGTTAACAGATGTGTACATGGGCATGTACACATTTTAATTAAAGGATACATGCCATGTACACTTTCTTTAATGTGTACCATGTACACATTTGAATTGACAGAGTATTAGAGGCCTATCACGACTTTTCGGTTGAAGCATCATTAATCTTTACAAGTCAAGTGCCGAATAAGCTATAACTTTATAAAAAATCCAATAACTGGGGAAGGTTTAAAGTAGGTTTGGTGAGAATTGTACACCATAATAAGGACGGGTTATAAGTGTGTTACACGTTAAATTTAAGAAAACAGTTTCTTTCTTTTGTCCAGAACATGTTAACTTCTTGAAGAAAGTGTGTTCTCAAGGGTCGTACGCCTGCCAGTTAGGCACGTCGCACGGCCGAGCCTCGAGCACAGCACAGCATGGCGGGTGGCCTAGCCTAGAGCCGGCGGGGGATCGCGGGCAGTGATCAGCTGATCACGAAGAGCGAGAATCAGCGCAGACCAGACAGTCGGCCCTCCTCCTCAAATTTATGTGATAACAAATTGACGAGGAGTTTTGACACGTTGTTTGTGAGGAACTCGGAACACGTCTTACAATGTATGAGAGGTATATCTTTTTAGAGAGAAGTGCCCTACATAGCTGAGGAGCCTGCAGGGTAAGCCACTTACTTGACTCGTGTGTCCACAGGACTCAGACCGCCCGCGGAGGTAAGACAAAGTGTCTGCATCAGCCACACTGCAGTGCACAGCGGGCTGCGAATGACTCAGCTCATCGCAACAATGAAGAACTTGATCGATTAATGAGAGATATTGCAACGTGCCGGGGCTGGTAATCAGCGAGCAGCGAGACGCGCTGGGCCGGGCCGTGGCCGGGCTGCGGCTGCCGTTGCGCAGCACGGTCGCGCCCAAAGGGAGCTGTGTGCATGGTAGGAGGAAATGGAGATGGACGGCGAGTAAGATCAAAAACTCTGATCCAAAATAGGTTCATGGTATGGCAACTCATCAAAAAGGGTGGAAACCCGAGGGGTGGGTAAGGTATCATCCACAAATTACGTCCGTGATTCGCTGTTCCAAAACTGCCAAGTTCATCCTGTGCTAGCTCTCGGAGCGCCTGGTGGGTAGGCAACTTCTCGTATGTAGTGCATGTGCGTTGTGCGGGCTGGCCGACCTTGAGCCTCGCAGGCGCTCATTTCCCTTTTTCGCTGAACGAGTCTTAGAAAAATCGCACGTGCTTTCTGGATAGTCCCTAACTCCCCGGACAAATGTACACTCCTAATTCTTCCCAATTCAAACTAATTCAGACCAATTTCAATTTAATCCAACATAATTCAAAAGTAATTCAAACGAATTCAAAAATAATTCAGCAAATTCAGCCCAATTCAAGGCAATTTATATCCAATTCAAGTCAATTCAAGCCAATTCACGCTAATTCAGTAAAATAAAATCACTATAATTCAAACGAATTCATAGTCCAATTCAAATTCAATTTAAGACAATTCAAATCGAATTCTTGAAATTTGTACACTCAATTCAGGTGTTATCAACCCCTCGTGGGAACCGCTCCAAACTATTGTTGGGTTTGCAGCAATTACTCCATACTCTGCCCACCACCAACACCACCGACACGAGCACGCAGCCACCGCCACTGCCTTTCCACGTTTAATTGATGACGCTTATGCAGAACGCCGCTGTAGAGCAGACCCAGATATGGGAGGGGGAAGAGGGAGAGAAGCTCAGGTCAGGTGCAGCGCGTTTGGTGCGAGTGGGTCAAAGACAGGCACTAAAGCTTTTTACACACTTATGTTGTGTTGAACAGAGGAGCTGCTGCACACTTGCAATTGTTTATCAATGCCTTTCTTCGCCTTCTTCTTCTTCTTTTTCTTCTTCTTCCTCTTCCTCTTCTTATTCTTATTTTTATTCTTATCCTTATTCTTATTCTTATTCTTATCCTTATTCTTATTATTGGAGCCAGGTGATGGTGTCGCAAGAGCAGAGCTCCGCGGGACGTGGACGCGGGGCAGGGCAGGCGGCAGGCCCGGCAGGCTGGGGTCATGCCTCACACCACTGCCATTGTTATAGGTACGTAATCGGGACGACTCCATACTTTGCCCCACCCATTCCAGGTACAGATAGAAGGGTTACAGAAAGAGAGCGAGAGAGAGAGAGAGAGAGAGAGAGAGAGAGAGGGAGAGAGAGAGAGAGGGGGGGAGGGGGGCAGAAAAACAGAGTAAAAGGAGGGGAGGGGTTGCTGTCTCTGTCTTGGATGAAATAGGCGAAAGCAGTTTGGTGGTGTTCGATTCAGTGTTTGCATGAGAGAGACAGACAGAGGGAGAAGGAAGGGGGTAGAGGGAGGGAGAGGGAGAGAGAGAGTAGGGGCATGTGTACCTGATCACTTCACACCAGCGCCCCTTGGGCTGCTACCGTCGGGCTTTGTGTCATAAGGCAGTCTTCACCATTAGGTCAGAACGACGAAAAAAATATTTCTCCATCCTAAAAAAGATCTCGTCGGTGTTTGAAATCGGAAGTGAAAATTTGGAACAAAAATGGAGATGAAACGGTGAGGCGTTGGTTATCGGGCCAGTGCCAATGTGAGGGAGACGAGACGTGTTCGGCATATGACTGACCCTCCTCTCCTCCGAAAAGTCTCTCTCTCTCTCCTCTGACACCCAGACACAGCTTTTGGTAATGTTCCCCCAGGTGGCGAGGTGATGCCGGCCAGGTCGAACATTGAACTACATGGAGAAAGTTCCTGATAATTGATGAGAAAAGGTGCTTTTGGTCTCATGGCAGGGTGTCTGTTTTAATTGTCCAATGTCTTCAATTGAAATTGGGATTTTCCCCTCCCTCGAACGTCTCTGATTAATTGAGGGGCATGGTATAAAGCCTCTCATTGCATTATTGACGTTTTTGTTGTTCTTCAAATCCTAGCATACTCTGCGTTTCCTCTGCTAAAACTGCGGAAAACTGTATGAAACAGTTTACCGTGTCGTGAGTCAGTCACAAACAGGTCAGGAATACCATGAAACGCGAAAGGACCGAGATGTCCTCGCTACAGATGGCCAGGCCAAGCCGAGGCCAGGATTCGTCACTTACCAGGCCAGGCCAGCCTCCCAGCCTCAGACGCAAGACACGCGGGTTTCTCCCAAAGTATCTTTGGCTTATAAATTTTCCAAATATTCAGGATGAACGTAACCAAGCCGAATAGTGGGGCGCTGCTCTCCTGTTGATGACAAACTCCAGAAGGGGGATTCCCCGGTGTTCTGGTCTTAAACAGAGACGGAGGGATCCACGTGAGCGGGAGCAAAATAACAT